CAGTTGATCATAGTTATGGGCTCCCTGTGTTTATAACCGCTAAACAATCTTCAAACCATATGTCTACGACACAAAATGAATAATAATGGATCTGTAGAGAAATTTTCTGTCAGTCGTTGCAAAAAAGGCAGGCTTCAGCTAGTCACCAACGTGTATCATGAAGCATCTTCGAACGAAGCTACATAATGTCCACCGATTAAAATACATTAGGTGTACCCAAAATCCGCAAATGGCGCATTACCATTAACCACGACGGCACTCTCACCTGTTTATATTTGACCTGGTGATATTCAAAACATTTTTTGAGTCAAATCATACACCATTCTTTAAAATCGCACTCTCTAAGTATTTATTGGCAATGTCGAACAAAACGGTCAATGTGTTTGGATGTGTAGTCGGTTGTCATCCAAAATATGCTAAATTATCTCAAAAACACAACTTTCATTGATGGACGACTGCAAGTCAAAACGACATTGATGATTTTAACAGCCATTAGCGTCACCCATTACGTCATATTAACGCTTCGTCACTAGAGGGCGCAATTTATAGGAAAGGTGTATTGTTGGCTGGTAAAGTTAGTACAGTTCCAAATGAAGATTCTGAACCGCGGTAAAATCAGATTGTCATAATATAATTATAAAGATCAGCTTACTGAATAAATGAATAAAACCCCATCATTTCAAATTCATTGAAAATACTTTTTACAGATTGTAGACAAAGGTGTATGTGTCCACACTATAGCATTGGGCGTAGATGCGTCACACAATATGGAGCAGTTGCCCCTGGCTACAGATGGAAAGAGTTTCTATTACTCAGAAAACCCTTATTCAAACGCATTGAATGAAGCTTTTATCACGATCGCTAAACAGGACACAAGTAAGTTACAGCGGCAGTAGACATGCGCAAATACGATACAACGCTTGAATCAAGCTTTAAAGCGGGGGAGTCGTCACCTGCGCATGCGTCAGATGGCCATGTCGTGTCATTGTTTACAAACAAGCCTACCCATGAGCCTTTGCGTTTTTAGCGTGTGTTGTTATCGTCACTTAGGACTCAATTCTCGCGCGTGCGCAGGTGACGATCCTCTCGCTTTAATGTAGCTTAATCTGCAGTTAATTCATAGCATATATTCGAGTTGTCTGCGTTTATATCATACCATAACCATTTTACAGCATATACACAGGGAAATAGTAGAATACCCACTCATCCAAGACAACCGTGGTAGAAGTAAGTTGTACCACTGGCTCTCATTTGTTGTTGGTCATTGTTGTTGGTCATTGTAAAACTATATTATGATTTCAATATCTTCACAACTTACTGTCTGTCTATAGATGCTTTGGATCAATCGGTTCAGATATACAGCAACACAATACTAGTGGACGATAGAACGACATCAACGATAGATATAACCGTCGATTCCTCGATAGGCCGGGAAACTCAATTCATATTCAGTTACCTCGACTCACAAGCTGTTCAGATAACATTGAATTCACCCAGTGGAACTGTTATTGACCAGTCATCGTCATTCTATGTACTAGACACAACTTTCCAGGTTGTAAGAATCAGCATTCCAGGAACAGCAGAGGTAAATTTTAAAGAAACAATAATTTGAGGTCATTATTAATTATTGATGTTAAATGTTGGCGGCCATCTTTGATTTCGTCCATACTGTGGTCCATTGCTTATGGTAGTACGCAATTGACCCGCTGATAATTTGATAGACTAACCTGGGTGTAGTACACGTGTGAGTGTGTTTTACCTTGCAACAGGAGATTTTGGGTTTGATCCCACAACCGACTGTACACGCATGGGTAAATAGAGTATTAAAGGGCCGTAGTCGTCGCGCCACGCATGCGCGATATATATGGAACTCATATAAACAAAGATGGCGACTTTGACTGTTGCGCAGATCAACTAGTACAAACTGAGACATTACCAAACATAATTAAGTAAGCATTTTTCAATTAAGTATTTTTAGGTGATTGGAAGGTATCGAATAAGTCACCGGCGGTAATTAGTGCAAGTCGCGCCCAGTTCAAACCTCATACTTGTGATTTCCATTAGAAGAGCGCATTGGATTGTGGGCAAATCAATGTTTATCTACACAAATGTCGCACCTGTACAGCACGATGACTACCGCCCTTTAAATAAAGTACGTTCTGCCTAGATCCTATAGACCCTATATCAAATTTTGAATAAAATGGCGTCGTGTCGGATGGGGGAGGGGTGTTGATACAAATTGTGGGTACCGTGATATGGTATATGTAGATAAAAAGAAATATGTAACAAAGGACGTTCGATCCAGTCGCTATAATTTAATTTATGTTATGCATATTCAACATTGAAATACATCATCCATGTATTAAGGTGAACTTGTGATTCTTATTAATTTTAGACTGGTTCGTGGAGTGTATCAATATATAACCCATCTTCTACCGCGCAATATGTAAGTGTCACAGTCCAGTCAAAGAGCAGAGACTCGGGTCAGTATCCAATATCGGTGACGTCAGAATGGAGTGTATACGTTATCAGACCACCAGAGAAACTGGTCCTCTACGTCACAATTGCCAAAGGTGAGCTCAGATGCAGATTGGGAAGGGAGAATTATAATGTTTACTTTTAACACCAACATCATAGTTGCAAGCATACCTGACCACGGCATGTACGCACTCATATTTACGATTACGTCGCATCACGTGATTTTCCATATTTTAAAATGTCAGAAAATCATCATACATTTCCTGTGCACTGTCTCTTTTAATCACATTTCTTTTAATAGCAATATTGATATTTTCAGTACTTTTAATAGATATAATATAAAAATAATGTAGCTTCATTTTTCAGAAAGTAATTTTTGTTTTTGTTTTTAATGTCAAATGTCTGTATTTGTGCAACTATTTTATTGTTCTCAGGCCTATAATTCTTTTTTTTTTGTCTGTTGGCTTCAGTTTAATAAAATAAAATAAAATCACCTCTTTTTATCCTAAATAGATAGAGGGACTGTGGTCGCACGTATAGAGAGGAAATGTGTTGACCCCATATTGGATTTTGCAAAGGATTGTGGGATAGAAAATTGCATGTTTTATCAACTGTGATATAGAAAATAATAAACATAAATTAGAATTAATGAATGAGTAGAAATCTGACACATTTACCTACCTCTATGTAGACAACTTGCAGCCAAAAACACTAATGCGTTAAATGAAAACAGGAACGAACGGAACAACACCGGGCATGCAGACGATGTACAGTTGATGTTAGCACAGTTTCCCCAAACGCCCTCTATAGTTCATGTTGATGATTGTTACTAATCCCACTCAAAACATGACGTTGTTTTGTTCACAGTTAATCCTAATATGACATGTTTAGATATATTATTACGTCTCGAGATAACTCATATCAACAACATTTGGCAACCAATTCGGATTTGGATTTTCCACGAGAAGCTGACAGCACTATCTCACATAGCGCACGACTAGAGAAAGAGTTTGATAATTATTCTGTTATTCATTCAATATAGGTACCATACCAGTGCTAAATGCTGCAGTTATTGCCACTATTGAGAGACCCAACAGCGATCCTATTGAGTTGACCATGGCAGATAACGGCGCTGGTGCTGATATCACCAAAGACGATGGTACATATACGTCATATTTCACTGCATTCAATGGAGATGATAGGTACAGTG